GTGCTGCGGGACTTGCCCACACTGCTTTCAGAGAATTCTCTCTGCTGGGAAACTCTATGGTCCCAGGTCTTGCTTCCTAGCCATGGGTGCTGTCCTGTGGTGCCCACCGTCCCTTTATCATGTCCCCGGTGTCTAGGGACTCTGGCAGCTGGAATTGCTCAGAGCTGGGTCCCTTTCTGGGAGCAGCACCCATAAGCATGAGCCCTGTGTCCTCCTCGGCACTTATTCACATCAATTTTTGGTGTGTGAACAAAGGTTACCACAGTACATTAAGGGACCAGCAGTACACGGGGCATCGTTAAAGCTGGGCTGAGTGGGGGATCTTCTTAGGAAGCACTGGAGACCTGGTACATCAGACAAGTTTGAGGAGCCCCATAGAAAAGGTACACCCAAGAAGGCGAATGACAGCCTGTCCATCCCATACCGAAGGAAGCACTCCTTAGAGAAGTGCCCCTCATTCCTTCCCACCTACCTCCTTCAGGTGCTGTGGAATAGATGTTCTAGAGCGGAAGGTGTACTTGGCCTTCTTGTAAATGAACCACAGCAAGGCAAAGCAGCCGAGGAGGAGGAGGAAGACCACAAAGACGGAGGACACCAGGAGGATGGCCACTATCCAGGAAGGGGTCGTTTCTGTTGGGGACAGAGGAGCTGGTTAGACTCTTGGCACATGGACAGGTTGAGTCACGGGGATTACACACCCATTCCAAGCCTTATGATCCAAAACATTCCCTCAAAACAGGCCCATCTGGCTGGGCGGTGTTGGCACACGCCTTTAATCCCAGCATTTGGGAGTCAGAGGCAGGCGGATCTCTAAGTTCGAGGCCACTCTGGTCTACAGAGCAAGTTCCAGAACAGCCAAGGTTACACAGAGAAACCCTGTCTTGAAAAACCAGAAAAACAAAACAAAACAAACAAACAAACAAACAAAACAGGCCCATCTGGTCATAATGGCCCAGAAACGTGGCAGTGGTGCTGTGGGATGGTCTGTATGTCAAATTACTCTGATTGGTCAATAAATAAAACACTGATTGGCCAGTGGCTAGGCAGGAAGTATAGGCAGGACTAACAGAGAGGAGGAAAGAAAGAACAGGAAGGCAGAGGGAGTCAATGCCAGCCGCCGCCATGACAAGCAGCATGTGAAGATGCCGGTAAGCCACGAGCCATGTGGCAAGGTATAGATTTATGGAAATGGATTAATTTAAGCTATAAGAACAGTTAGCAAGAAGCCTGCCACGGCCATACAGTTTGTATGCAATATAAGTCTCTGTGTTTACTTGGTTGGGTCTGAGCGGCTGTGGGACTGGCGGGTGACAGAGATTTGTCCTGACTGTGGGCCAGGCAGGAAAACTCTAGCTACACAGTTGGCTGGAGGATCTTGGTGTTTTTCTTGAGTTTCACCTCTTTCCTGAACCCCTCTTCACAGTGCGGTTTCTGGTCTGATTGATGGCACATAGAACAATAAGCAAGGATCCTGGTCTACTTTCCTGTTTGTAGAGAGGCTAGGAGCCCACCTGCTCTGGGTATTCTGCTCTGACCCCCACACAGGGCCTGAGGGAGGCAGAGGCCCCCCCATGCTTGGTATTGAGAGGAGAAAACGGCTTTACACAGAGGAACACACACAAACCCGAGTGACCACACCTTGTCCCTGGGGCCATCCATTCTTCCCGGAGTTCCTGACCAGAGCCTACACATCACGTGCGTGTTATTGTCAGCACATGACCACATGCCTCTGACTACTTGCAGTGAGCTTTTCTAGAAAGGCCTTCCTACCTGAGACCTTCTCTGCCTATCTGGAACATAATCATGGTGCTATGACCCAGCAGCATCTTCCTGAGTGGCTGATAACCACTTCCGTGACGCCAACAGGAAGGATGTCTCTATAAGATCAGCAGGTTTTGATAAATGCCAGTTGGCAGACCCAGGTAGAGAATGGTAATGGCACTAAACTCAGTTCAGTCATTTTTTTACTTGTCTCCTCTGCTTGTCTGGCTCCCTCCCCCTACTTTCTCACTTTTGGGCACTTCTCTGCACAGGCGAAGCTCAGCTCCTCCCCCTATTGTAGTTAGTAGTCACTGAATAAAATCTAGCGTTCCTGCTTCAACCAATCCTGCCTGGTTTATGTGTCAGCATCCAGGAGGTCACCCTGGTCAACTGTGGTGCCAGCTCACTCCCTCACACCAGTCCCTTCTCCAGCTGACCTGGCCAACTGGCTTCCTCCTACCCAACCCTTGCCAACCAGTACCATCTTCATGAACAAGGCCATGTGCATCTGGTACCTAGTGGGCTGAGAGAACAAACCCCGCCTGGGAAGAGCAAGTCACTTGAAAGGGACTGTGGGGAGAATGCCAAGTGCCACTTAGACACAGAAGACCAGAGAACTCTGGCCAGTGTGATGGTCCTGGTATTCCATTGACTCTAGGCATCTGCTGGTGTTTGAGCAAACTGCTCTTGAAATGTCCATGGGTAAAGAGATGGATGGATAATGGATGGATGGACAGAAGGATGGACAGATGGACAGACAGACCGATGGGTGGATGGAGCATTTGTATGGGTGAGAGGCTGGGAGGAAACTTTCACATCTTCTGCCCCCCTCCCTCCCTCCCTTGGCCCCTTGCGTTTCCACACACACCAACCCCCTGACTGTCCCGTCCCACCTCACACCTTGCCAGATTGGAAGGACTATATCCCAGTGCCAGGGTCTTGTTTCACACTGCACAGCCCCTGTCCTGCTTGACCTTGTCCTGATAAAGGGAGGGTCCAGAGAGCTAGCTGGAGTGGTCCCTCGGAGGACTCGGACAATGTGAGGTCATCCCATCTCAGACACTTTGCTGAGAAAGTTTCAGGCTCTACTCACTCATCCACGCAGGCTTCCAGCCCAGTGAGTCAGAGCTGCCAAGCTCCCTCAGGTGGGGTGGTGGATGGTAACAGCTGGGTTCCTGGTATTTTAGATAAGGACACGCCTGGCCGATGGTGACATTTATGTTATTTCTCAGGAAGAGTCAGAGGTTGAGGGTGGGAGGGGCTGATGTCTAAAGGGTGTGAACTGCAGGGCAACTTACCTAGGTGCACTCTTGGCCGGTTCTTCCCTGGCTGCAGATCTATCTGACTACACTCTTGGCAGACCATGTTTCTCGGTTTTATTTTAAGGGTCAGGTTGCCTCAGTCTACCTTTGGAATTAGTCTGTAGGCAGTGAGTTAAAGAGAATGCAGTCTGGGTTTATGCAGGGCCTGTGCTCTGCTCTGTCTTTGTCCTTCACTAGCTGAGTGACTCTGGGTAACAGAAGGAACCTGGGAGCCTCCTTTTCTAAGATGCTCACACTGAAAACCTTCTATAGCATTTAAATGAGAAAAAAACAAAACAAAACAAAAACAAAAAACAAAAAACCCTGTAAAATGGATATTTGCCAAACAGGTTTCCTATTTCTCTTTAAAAAAAAGTTTGGATCCTGCCAGGAGACAAAGTCTTATTCTGTGGCCTAGGTTGGCCTGCAACTCACTACACAGTCCAACCAGGCCTCACGGTGACTCCTTATGTCTCAGCTTCTTAAGCATTGGAATTACAGCCTTGGGCCACCACACCACTTTTCTGTTAGATCAAACTGTGACCCTCCCATCAGATTTCACGACACCAGTAGCTCCACAGGTGTCCCGCCTCTCATGCTGTGGGATTACTGACAAGTCTTTGGCTGCTACAGAGGCTGGGCCGTACATTCTCACTGGGCTGCAGTCACCATGTATCTGTGTGTAGGCAGCGCCAGCCACGGATAGGCAGCACATCCTCTTCCCCTACTTCCTCTCTCTGTCTGTTTGGTTTCAATCCTCTCCTCTCCTCTCCTCTCCTCTCCTCTC